TGATCCAACAACTTCGTCAGTGGAAATAATATGACAATTTTGACTTTGACAGTGTTCCAACAGACTCAAATGTTTTTAATTCCGTAAATTATGGAGGTACGTAATTAATATTGTAATAAAATGTGCGTATTTTTTGTGATCATTTCTGTCTCTTCATTGTGAAAATAAATGACGACGCAACTAATTTAGTAATTTGATTTTCTCTCAAAGACGTAATCTGTCACTTGATGAATCAAAATTTTCATGTTCACTCTTTTTCGAGGGGGGTGCTCGCGTAAGCGCCCACCCCTACAAAATCGTGATTTTCCGAGTTGAGGCCCCTGGGCACTAACGCGGTCGAGTACGATATATATATAGTGCAGGCTGATCGGCCGGAAACAAGTGTTAGTGTTTTGGGGGTTTCGGAGTGTTGATGCTTGCTTTACATTACCAAACTGTATTAATTATATAATTTCTATTATTTTGAGGAAGGGTAAGGTCCTATACCTGTGGGTGAATTAATCACATTTATGTTATTCTTGCTTTTACAGCCGTTCTGAGCATTATTCGGACAGTCAGTTAGCAATATATCTTGGAACTTTGTAAAACACTTGAGTCTTTTCCAATCTAGACTTGATGGTGCCGTTGTATTGGCGCGCCCACAATTGGGATCATTCCATTATCTTCTTAGATGCGGGCAAAAGGCTGTTTTCTAAACGACACGCATTGGTTACCATACATTAATAGGTTATATGTTGTGAATGCATTCAAAATGTTATTTTAAATTGTTATAACCATACGAGTCCACCTGACATAGCGTAATTTGCAAAACAACTCCCGAGCGTTGAGTAACCCCTGGTATTAATGAACATGCCGCACAGTCCCTCTATGCTCAAAGTAAAGTTTCTTAGCATTGGACGAGCTGCAGTTTCGCGACAGTTTTGAGCCAAACTAAAAGTTGTTTTTACATTACTGGTGCATTATGTATCAAATTCAGATTTTATACCAAGCTGGGAGAGTACGCCAGGAACACACGGACAGAAAACTTGATTATAGCGGTTTGATGGACTTTGTCAAATCAAAAGTGCCTTCCTTGAGCAAATCACTTTTTCAACTGCAGTTTGAAAATGATGGGATATAACGACCGTTATTATGTCTAGTCCATTTTTGTAACAGGTACAACTGACTAAAATGAGCGAGGGGTTGACATTTTTCTACAAATTTAAGCAACACCCAACTTGCGAATTTTAAAATTACTGAAAATAATTACAATATAAATATAAAAAATAAAGAAATAATTGATAATACATACAATTCACAATGCCGACAACCCCTATGAAATAGTAATCCCAAACCACACGCCCGTCAATCAAGTGGCGCCGAGAAGTCTAGATTGGCAAAGACTAGCCCTGAGTACAGTCCTGTAGGTTGGCCTCCTTCCGCTGATCATTCGGCCCTCACAGTCCTGAGAAGTCGCGTAGACTGGGAATTCGACACTATTTGAAGGAATGTATCGGGCGATTTAAAAGGCATTCAGCTTTGCAGTTAAAAAATAAGCAGTTGATACGTCTAACTATTCTAAATACCTTAACTGGGAGCGAAATTACATAGATTTCCCACAAATCAACATTTTCCAACGTCAAACGAAAATATACACCGCCATCTTGTTCTTGACGTATTTATTAACAAAACGTTGTTTCGTTGCATAAAACTAAATTTCGCCAACGTTCCAGTACTGTAGGTTCATTTTTCGGCCACAAAAAAAGTATTTGTGATCAACAACAATTTATTAACTCATAACAACCTACTGAAGGAGGTTAAAGGTTACAACAACAACAACAAATTACAGATAAAAATTAATCAAAGTACAATGGCTAATAGTTTAAAGACAACCAAAAACAGACTAAATCGAAGTTAGTAACGGAAATATATAATAAAGTAAAATGAAGCACCAACAAAAAACTATAAACTGAATATAAAAGCGAGAACCCAATAAACCCAATGATCGCTAGATCGGTCGATAGATGTTTTAGCTGGTTACAATCATGAAAACTGCATGACGGTTCTCCGCCATAAACTTCTCAGGACTGATCAGCGGAAGGAGGCCAACCTACAGGACTGTACTCAGGGCTAGGCAAAGACCAAAGTGTTTTGCAAAGTTGCAAGTCATTTTGCTAACTGACTGTTCGAATAATTCTCAGAACGGCTGTAAGTGTACGTCACCTTGACTGTGGCAGAGACGATAGCAAGAAAGAAACGCGAACTCTAATTCTTTGTTAGTGCATCATTACACTATGGTTTAGTGAAAACAACAATGCTAATAAGAAGACGCTAGGAAATTAACAACCTCGGTGTATAGACACTTTACTACAAATCTGATAGTGTTAGTCAGTCCACAAACACCGCACTAGAAACTACACACACTCACCTCACACACTTCACTGATGTCGCTGTCAGACTCAGAATCAAATTCGGTGCGTTGCGCCATTTTTACGAAAACGAAGTCACGTGACCAACTCCACAACAGCGCTCTCTAGCTCATGCAAAATTTACCGGCTGGGGGCGCTGTGAATACAGAAAATGTGTTATGAAGTGCTTTAGGTGCAATAAAATAGTGCAATTGAAAATATTTCGAACTGGCTTTTAAGAAATACATCATCCGACCTTAGGAAAAAATACTATATTGCTTAAAATAAAAACACTCAACATAAAATATATAAAACTTTGCAAGTTTCTAGTAAATTATTGTGTTGTGTTGTAGACGAGACCTCAGTGACCAACCCAAGTTACCACGTTCTAAAATCATGTACAGGGTTGAAGACCATATCAAATGGTGACAGCTTAATTTCCCATTGGCGTAAACCCGGATATGACCTCTTTTATGATCTTGATGTTTAGCACATGAAAGTTGTGGCAATATAAATGCTGGCAGATGTAATACTGGCATGTCATTTACATAAAGTGGGGACAAAAGAGATCCCTGTGAAACGCCGACACTTGTATAGTGTGGTACAAGTGAGTTACGAGGTGCGAACACGGCTACACGTATATTCAGTTCGTTCAACTGTTAATTAAAGTCAGTTAAAGTTATTAGAGAAAAACTAAATTTCAGTGAAACCAATGAAAATAGGGGAACAAAACTGAGAACATACAAACTATTCAAAGTAAGCTATAATATGGAAAATTATTTGCAAAACATTTCAAATTTCAGCCTCAGGAAAATGCTTTCAAAATTCCGTCTGAGTGACCACAACTTAGAAATAGAATTAGGTAGAAGAACAAATCCCAAAATAGAATTAGAAAATAGACACTGTAATAAATGTAACACTAAAGCATTAGGAGATGAAAAACATTTCCTGCTATTTTGTACTGGCTATATAGAACAAAGAAAAAAACTGTTTGATGAGTGTTCAATAAATATTTACACAATGGATGTGAATTCCATATTTAAAAAGATTATGGAGAATAATATAGCTTTAGCAAAATACTTAAAGAGCACAATTTTTAAAACCACAGAAAGTAATTAATTTATTTTTTTATTTTATTTTACTAACATTTTATTTTTATCTCTTATGTATTGTATGTATTTATGTTCCTTACCATACAAAAACCCTCTGAAGGTTTTTAGTAGTGTAATAAAGTTATTATTATTATTAAACGTGGACTTTCGACAAAAAACAAAAACGTATATTGCCCGAAACTCGAAGTTCTGTTAACTGGTAATATAACATCATTAGGCGCGCGTGAGTTCGAAACCTGTGCCTCAAACATTTATTTTTCAGTTTTACGTGTAACGTGTGCCGCATACGGTAGAATGGGGAAATGTTTTGTTTTCTATTTTGAAGTAAGTTTTGTTGGTGTTAAATAATCTTGATTAATAAATAAATAAATAGTTGTTTTTATGGCCGCTTTATAAGTTGTGTTTGAATCGAGTACCAGTGTATGATGCTGAGCCATAAAACATTATCTGCAGTCACGTGTCCGTACACCGCAGCCGACAGATTAGTCAATATTATCGAACAACGTCATTTTGTTTTGATGTCCATGGTTACCAACTAAGGTAAGTATCTGTTGAAATGAAATAGATCCGCATTGGCAGCTGAACCCCCTACGACAAAGTACAATAACCCACGACAGCGAGTATTAACATAACATTAAAATTACAATGTTGTCATTATAGTGTCGTTCGTTCATTCAATGATGAGTAGCTTCTGTTAACCGACAGCCGATGCGAATGACATTTTTTTCTGGAATCAACCACTTTCGTTGTCTTCTGTAAGTAATTGTGGTACGTCGGTCAAATCGACATGAATATCTAGCCATGCCACCTGAGTTGTTTGCCTTTCAAGGCAAAAAACAACGCAGTGCCTACAAGAAAGTACTGATCATAACGCTAGCAGTTCTCGAGGGATTCTTCACTACTCTCCCTTATGGATGGGCCTCGTTGGTTGTGGTGCTTAAAGCCGATGGATTTTACAGTGATCTGTGTCACGCCGACTCGTCAGACTGTCAACAGATCACCTGGAACACCTCAGCCCATGAAACGGATAGTATGACGACATTGGCTGTTCGTTTCAATGAAACTGCGCCCGTAGCGATAGCGACGACATACGATACAGTGGGTGTATATGGAGAGTACTGTACTTGTTCCGCACAGGATGAACGTTTGAACCTTGTGTTTACCATTGCAATGTCATTAACGCTGTCGATGTGTTTCCCCACTGGTGCAGTATACGATTTACTTGGCCCGCGTAAAACACGCTTAATATGTTGGTATGTATGATTATACTAAATATAGGGTAATACATGATAATATCCAGATCCTGCATTTCGATTGATACAGTGTAATATGTTAATATATATTGATTTACTCCATCTATATAAAAATGGTTGGCTTTATGCACTCAGGTGAGTGGTATTATATTTTAATACGCGGTGGACTTAAGTTCAACGCTTACATATATTTTTAATTAAATGTAAACGGTTCGTTCCATTTTGCATTGTAATACCACAGTCCCGGGATAGAGGGACTGTGGTTATACGCACTGAATCGGGTTGGTCGTGAAATATAAATAGATATGTACACTTCTTTGGGTTCATGTTAAAACATGGTTAGATAGTTCATTACAATACGAAGATCCATTGTAGTCCGCATTGTTTCTGTTCATGAATAGAGTGTATCGAACGTCACAATCCGTCAAAATTACCCGTCATTCCGCGTATACAATAGTGTAAAACCATTTATTTTCATTGATGTTGGCCAATTTCACTTGGGTCTAACATGGAAGGTCCTAGTACCTTCCATGGGTCTAAGTTCGTGAGTTTGCAAGAGGAATATTGAGTTCTATTGTTATTTTACAGGTTAACATGGGTTTAATTTAGCGGATTTTACTTATGAGCGAAAATAATGAATAATTAATGTCTTCACAGTACTGCACGTATGACGTATGATGGCTATAAACATCAGGATGTCACAAAATAAATTGATGGTACTTAGCATATGTTGGCTATCTGCCCGAACGACCTGGTATCTGTGCCTCCGGCCATGGCCACACGCAATGCATTACTGAACATGTAATTTCATGTAATTCCTAAATTAACAGTTAATAGGTCTTCGAGTTATATGAAAGACTCGTGTGTTTTTGTTTTTGTTGAACGTCCACATGTAGTCACTCGAACTTCTTTTAACAGTTAACCGAACTTAGAGTTACGAGTAACATACTTTGTTAAACAAAACAAAATAATCTATGCTGCCCGTAGTTAAGGTAGGGATGCAGGTTCGTTTTTTGTTTTTTTTTTTGCTTTTTATTATCCAAACAGTCTTGGCTATAGACTGTTAATTGAACGTCGATTTACAATGTGGGCGTGGTATCTACATATGGGCATGGTCGTTTTGTAACTCGATGTCCGTAACTCTGGCAATTCACCATCTCTGGCTTCGTCATAGTTGACTCTGAACAGCGATTTATCTGTCTGGGTTCCTCAGGCTGTTTATATAACACAATACATGTATATGCTTTATCCCGAATGATTGACCTACATTCAGCATATTGTAATGACACGATGCCAACTTCACTAGTCTAATATAGTACAAAGAGAAATACAATACGTATGTATGAACTAAGTTTTCAATGATGTCCCATAATTCCATAGTACAATCGCAGTGGATTAACAATTTACCGTTACTAGTGAACAACCGGTCGTAGTTCGGGGATGGGTAATAGTTACAGTTTTTTTTTGTTGGCGTTCTTTAGTTCTTCTTTGGTCTTTACTTGTCTTCAACAGTTGCCTGGATTCTAAACACCATATAACCGGTCGTAGTTCGGAGTCGGGGAATAGTTTTAGTTTTTGGGGGGAAAGAAAAGTAATATATCGACCTGGTTCGAATCATAAGTTGGGGGAATTTCTCGCTTGGCAAATGCGAGAAGTAAACTTGGGGATCAACTGACTCACTCGAAGTCAAAGATCAGACCAATAAGTAGGATTAGTTCGTTTTAGTTCATAATTGTAAAACGCCAAAACAGAACAGTTCCGTCATAAAGACAGGGGTAAGGTCTCGGGGACGTCCTTCGTGCGTGGGGATCCTCAGGTCGGGGATCTCTTCGATTTTAATCTTAATCAAGTAGTATTGCAACATCCAATCGAAATTTAATACATTGGTACGTGACATTTATGACGTCACCTAACGGTGACTGACCAATGACAGGTTGCCATTTGTTTGTCACGTGATATTTACAACGGCCAATCGAAATAGAATATTTTGTTACGTGATTTTTGTGACGTCACCTAACGGTGACAAAAGAACCATTCTTGAGAGTGTTGGTGAAATGTTTTTTTGTCAAGCGTTGTTATAAACAATAATAATCTTATAAGGAAAACAAGAATTTTAATAAACCCGAGTGACATCAGAGCCCCACATTTAGTTGAAATGTTGTTGTCCAGTGCCACAACAGATTCTTTCAGTTCTCTATCAATAGAACACGATTTACGATACAATTTCAACATAGTTACATTGCTCATATGTTTACGAAATCGACTATGTATATGTTACCTTGCTTCAGTGATCGCAATATAAATTTAGGGGAAGCTAATCTACAAGCATCTTAGTGGGTTTCCCAAAATGCTCTGTTGTCTAGGTCACTTGGGTTTTAATATGGTTGCTAGGCAACAGTGAATAACATTTGTTTGCGTGGTATAAAAATATTGTGAACAAAATAAATCCAATATTATGCAAAACTGTTTTACTGGTATTCAGAGGGATGCTTCCGCCTAATTACGTACCCTATAATATTATAAGAATGAATAGTCCGAATAATTTGCTGTTCCATTTTGCATATTGTATGTACACACATCACGAATCGTTTGGCGTGATGTTAAATCGGGAACATGCGCATGCGCACCGAATTACTATAACGTATCGTAATTCACGATAAATCACAGTCCTGTAACTACGACAACAATGACAAATAAATAAAACCAAACGTTTGCATATATAAAGTATTCTTGTGGCACACATGACTAATACAATATAAATATATTGATGCATCATTATAATACCTCACATATCGTTGCGTGAAACCTTGTCATTTCCGCCCAATTTGCTAACCCGATGATGAATAAAACAGCTGTCATAAGGGAATCACAATGCGTGTATTGTGTATTTCATAATAGCTAGATTGGAAATTGACAACACGCGATGGCAATTTCAGCTGTTGGTAAAATGTCACTATGTATTATAGGGTTAATTATTTAGTCAGCTGGTGAGTATGTTTATGATTGTAAACGCCAGCATATTGTAAACGCACAAGATTATATAGCCCTAGTCCTACCAGTTTTCTAATTCTATTTTGGGCTTTAATAATGCCGCCATGGCAACTTATGTCTTCGGTTAAAATAGTACTTTTTCGATTTACACATCTGGTTATTAACAAATGCAGCGTAAAAACCCTAGTAAATGACACTTGTAATTATTAGTTGTTGACCGTGTGCAACCGAGAGAATTTGACAATGACGTAATATCACATAACCAACATGTGCTAGGCGCGCAAAGATCGCCGACTGTAACGAACAGCAGTAATATTGAATGCTTGGTAACCTTGGGCTTTAAGTACGTGACTGTAACATCCGGCAAAATACTACTTGTGAAAGTATGTTCACTATAATTTCATTTTGTAATTTACATTACTTAGTTCAAGGTATGGATATTAGTTTGTATGCCATTGCCATATGTCGCTGCAGTCTGACGGGTCATCATTTGCATATTGTTCCATTCATGCTTTACATTGCAAAATTATCAGACACTATAATCAAATCATAAGTAATTTCATAACATAAAATGTAGTTATTTTCTTGAACTAGTGATTTTGGAGATACTCGCTTTTCTTTTTCATTGAAGTATTACAAATTCGTATGTTCAACACTGTCAAAAGCGTTGACAAAACGTGAACACATTTGCGTGACTATACGCCCTATGTATTCTTTAGGGCCAATGATAGTAACATCTTGATTTTAAAATACTACATTTAATCAAACTACACAGATATGATTGGTTGAATGATTAAGTTGGATACTTTCGTCCTCAGTAACGTACCTGTGCGCGGTCAATGTTAACCCCTGTACCATTACGTCAAAAACGTTTACCCGAGTAAGAAACGTGTGATAGTTTTTCAACCCATCTAAAACAAAAGGTGATTTGTATGTGAAATTTCAAAATCCCGTTCTGAGTTTCTTTTTCATGATTCGAAAGGAAAATAAACTTTGTCATCACTTACAGTTTAGAGAAAATGTTGCATGTGATGATTCCTTGCATTAATGAGAGAAAATCAATAATTCCTCACTGCAAAACTTGCCCGAAAGTTTCAGTTTATTGTTCAGATTGCGTGAAGTCATAACACATGTGTGACTATGACTTCTCAGTGGTTAATATGGTGTAAGTTAGAACTGATTTGTTTCGGGCCACGTCATCACAGCACCCCTCTGTCCCGTGGTGTTTCTTAAACTTGAACTTTACTTTATAATAACAATATCTTTTTTGCAATAGAGTCCACTTTGTCATATTGACGTGAAGGAACAATGAATTACAAACAAAATATAAAAATACTGTAAACCGTTTAATTTTCACTGTTCATCATTATACAAGATGTCTGCATAGAAATGAAATATTGATTTACATAGGTGATTTCATTTGAGTCATATAATATGGGAATCACTGTATTTTGTAACGAGAGTGAGGTTAAAATTATATGCAACCACAAGCTTGTATAAATGGTGTCCAATATATGACCGAAGCATGGTTAACGTGATTTTGATTTGACCCGAACTAAATACACGTATAGAAGGACTGTGACCCGAAAAGACGGATATCAAGGGGTTAACCCGAGCCTCTTATGTGCACTGCCACAATTTGAATCTTTAATTACACATCTTAATTGACCTCTATTGATATAGAAATATATTTCTCATAGTAATAGAGGTCATTTATCAAGTTAATCTGTACATACCAGGTGCTTTGACAATATACCTGAAATAACAACACTTGTTGATATTCTGACGGGGATAAACTTTGTACATTGCTTCAACATTTTGGAGGATTTATAGCGACCATGCGGTTTTAATATATTTAGGATTTCTGGCGAGTGACCCGTGATATCGGATTTAGTAATTTGTATATATAATGAGAAACATGAAATTAAAACAAGGGTTTTATAAATCTGCCGGGTCACGAACTTTGGACGGCACATATGAATGCCTGAATCTGTTACCATGCGTACCAGTACATAGCGG